GAAGTTAGAAGAGCTTCACAATTCCGTTGTGACAGCATGCCCTAATTCAGAACTACGAACGATCCAATGACGATCCTTCGCGATGCAGTGGTCTCATGAAATAAGGAAACGTATTCGTGCTAGGAACACACGCGAATTTCGGACGAATGAATCTTGCTTGTATTTTGTAGATATAATAATACTTTGTTTCATAATAAACAATTTGTCAAGTGTCATTTATTTACTGGTAATAGTGCATGTTTCAGTCGGGCAAATCTTGATTAATATTTGATACGCCGATTTTTGCATATTTCAGACACATCCAGAAATATCCTCCCGAATTTAAAGATTAATATCTCCGTGAATTTTTAAGTGAAATACAACTGTAATATATCAAAGTCTAAGTTAGTCCTTCCTCTATTTGATGCAAGTTATTTCTCTTTAAAAGCTATACTTGTTTAGATGTTATTACGAATCAAACAGGAGTACTTTTTTTTGGGCCACCCGGTATTAGGATGATGAGTTTTTGACATAATATGAAGGGTCTAGTGCCTCTAGCCGTCTAGAAAGTTATAAAAAAGTTTCGTGAATCTTAATACCTGAAAGAATTAGTCTTTCTTTGTAGTCTTTGTAGTGAAATGCTGCATCCACAAGCGAAGCAAACCCGCACCCTCGCTCCGCGTTGTAAAACAAGTAATGTTCGAGGGAAATATTAAGATTTTTTAGCTCAAAAACCTCGTCAAAAACAACAGAAAACTCGAGAGAAAACTTTATATCTATGTCGTAATATTTGCCCAAAAACCAGGGGGGTTAAGGACATCGTCGGAAGTTTAGGATCGCGGTTGGTCAGTGGCAGTTACCATGAAAATAAAGTAAGTGTTGTCATGGAAATGGCGTAATCATAGATATAGAATAGCCCAGTGAACTCTATGGGAATAGCCGCCATGTTTTCGGCTTCACTTGATGATGCCGAGCAGGTCCTCCAGTAATATAGTATAGCTCAGTGCAATAGACCAATTGCGAAACTTAGTAACCGCGCCTTCGCATAGCATGAAAACGAGGCTTATTATGCAAAACGCAAAATTCTATTTTTTGTTTTGTTCGAAAGTCAAAGAGTGAGGCACCAAGTTTTATGGCAGTTTTCTCTCGTTTTATCAAGTTTTTAGATACTTATTCAGCGTAGTCAAATCAATTATTATCCTAGTTATTAGTATAGATAGTTTTTTCTTCATCTGACGCGTTTTCGTGGGGTCTTTTTAATCATTTTGACGGCGCGGGCCGGTGGAAATATCGTGGAAAACATCGAAACAAACTCGGGTAAGCAAACCTTTTTTGCGAATTTGATTTTTTAAAACACGTGCATCAATTTAAATCTAATATCCGGTTTGAAATCGGCCAATTTCCGGCGAAAATATTTACGTTTTCTGCAATGCGTTTGTCAAAGGTCCCCGTCATTTCACTGCCATTCTTGTTCTGTTTTGAAACTGTTTACATCGCAATTTGTTTTACAAAAAATGGCAATATTTAAATCATGACATGACAAATAAAAAAGGAAATTTTAGCTGGTATAATAAGATGAAATGTCTCATGGATTGTTTGGTTTCTTTTCGTTGTTTGCATGCAAACATCGACTGATCCACAACAACAACAACAACAAGGGAAATTTGAAACCGAAGTCGAAGAGGCAAGCTAAACAATTAACCTACCTTAGATTCATCTTACAATACTTTTATACAATACTCATACTATATTGTTTGTCAATTTGTTTTCTTTTCGTTATTTTTATGCAGACATCAACGACAAGGAAAATTTGAAGCCTAAATCTACATCAAAATCCCGAGGATTACAATGCTCTTTATATTTCAACTGTATAAACCGTGCATTATAGGTGCATATACCTTACCAAACTGACAGATATGTGGCAGATATATGTCACAGTTCTGTAAAATATCTGCAAAATATATGTAAGAAAGTATCTGTCACATATCTGCGACATATAGGAATTTGGCCCCATGACATATCTGTCACAGTTATGTGGCAGATATCTGTCACAGTAAAGTTATATGTGACAGACACCTGTCACAGTTATGTGACAGACATCTGCCACATATCTGAAACATATAGGAATTTGGCCCAATAATATATCCGTCACAGTTATGTGACAGTATAGTTTCCCTACAGATAAAATTGTCTGTATATTATCTACCAAGCAGATATGTCACATAACTACCACCAAGTGATCGAGATGTATTTCTACCATAAAATTAAAACTGTTTCGTTTTACTTCTGCAACATAAAGTTGCTGCAACTGTACCTCTGCCACGTTCACTTGAAGCCATAATAATTTAATACGAAGAAATACTATCAGAATATTAATTTAATATTAGTAAATATATAATTATAGCTAGCTAGGTCACATATATAGATAAATTTAAGTCTGTATAATCAATCATTCACCAGGGGCCAGTTGTTCAAAGCTGGATTAGGTAATTTAGCTTAACCCTATAAGTTAATTCAAAGCAAACTTCCTGACAGCTTGTCTATAAATTTGGAAATATTTCTTCAGAGATCTTGTCTGGATCGATAGGAGTTTTCTTCTCTGACGTTTTGAAATAAACAGACATTTTGAAATAAACAGACGTGTAGAAATACACAAACTAAAACAGCAGGTTGAATTTTAACTCAGGGTTATCACTAGTCCAGCTTTGAACAACCGGCCCCAGAGTACTTACACATATGGTACTATAACCTACACTTATTTAAAATTTTCTAATATTATATAATTATATTATTTATGACCAGAAATAAATATTGAGTATCTAAAAGTCAATAATTGTTAATTGTCAAGTCTCACTAGCCATGTCTGATGGGTTACCAGGTATATATTGGCTTGACCATCTACTAGATTACATTCGATTCAATTAACACTATTTTTGTAAAGTATATATTACAGGAGACTTTAGGGCTTACTGACAAGTTAGTATATGAAGCATGAAAAGATATGTAAATTTGTTTGGTATCAGACAGAGTAAATTAAGAAGACGGAGCACATTAGGACAAATTGTAGGTCAATAGGTCCAGCCACAGCCTTCCCCCTGCATTATTGCAGGCTTATGGACAGCTTTACATGTACTGTACTGACTTATTCATGACAGAAAACTGGCTATTGCACACTGACCCTTTATCTAAACTAACTGTTGTACACTATGCTCAATTTTTGCTATGGCGCAGATAAAATTGGTACCTGTTGTCCTGTACCAAATTTATTTGTGCTCGTCCTGTATGAATATAGGTAGTCCAAATTGCACGGTAAACATGTTAAGGGGTACCAAAATTGAGCACAGTATAAACAGGCCTTAAAATGGGCTGCATTTGGAGGTAGGCTTAGGATTCATGTGTAATTGTGTTGTTACTATAGTTACTAAATTCTTGATGCAGTATCAATGTAATAATTCCTACAAACAACCTCCTTTAATAGAGGCTGTTTACAAGATCCAGACTGATTATCTGGCCTGGGTGGCCACCTTAGCTCGGCCAGTTTGTCATTTTGTTCATATAAAGCACTAAAAGCAGACTATTTTATACTCTTTTTCTTACCTAATACAACACTAGTTTGTCAACTCAATCCAGATATTCCTGATTGTTGAGAACAATATTTGGAGCTGGGCTATAACCTGGCCGGCTCCAACATAATATAGCAAATTTTGTCAAATATAACAAATTGACAAATAATATAGTATGAGTATTGTATAACGTTGTACGCTGTTTAGCTTGCCTCTTCGACTTCGGTTTCAAATTTCCCTTGTTGTTGTTATTGTTGTTGTTGTTGTGGATCAGTCGATGTCTGCATGCAAACAACGAAAAGAAACCAAACAATCCATGAGACATTTCATCTTATTACACCAGCTAAAATTTCCTTTTTTATTTGTTATGTCATGATTTAAATATTGCCATTTTTTGTAAAACAAATTGCGATGTAAACAGTTTCAAAACAAAACAAGAATGGCAGTGAAATGACGGCGACCTCCCACCGGCCCGCGCCGTCAAAATGATTAAAAAGACCCCACGAAAACGCGTCAGATGAAGAAAAAACTATCTATACTAATAACTAGGATAATAATTGATTTGACTACGCTGAATAAGTATCTAAAAACTTGATAAAACGAGAGAAAACTGCCATAAAACTTGGTGCCTCACTCTTTGACTTTCGAACAAAACAAGAAATAGAATTTTGCGTTTTGCATAATAAGCCTCGTTTTCATGTTATGCGAAGGCGCGGTTACTAAGTTTCGCAATTGGTCTGGTCAAAACATTCAAATTTTTAGACAGAGCCGTTAACAACAAATGCTTTCATGTCATTTGTCAGTTGGAATTGGTACACATACAATATGATTGGTCAATTCAAGCACAAGAAGTTATGAAGTTTTTTAAATAACTTTCTCAAAATATTGAGGTGTTTGTAAATATTTTTCGGAACGCTTCTATTCTTTGTTTGCAATCATGTGACTTTTCATCCAAATGACGGGCAATTAAACAACTGTGGACGATTTTTTTCTATCAGAATGGTTGTAGCAAGAAAAACTGAACGATAATTCATCTTTTGAGTCTTAAACTGTGTCTAAACTCGATCAATACATTAAAATAGCCGTTTTTTGTTTTACCTGCCCGTCAACTGCATGAAATCCCAAAATTACGTCATTGCAAACAAAGAATTGGCACGGCTTTATGGGACACCAAATGCTGGTCAACTTCAGAAATGTTGACACTTATCAAGCAAGAAAATTAACTGCATCTCTTAATTGCCTTCATATAACTTAGTGAAACCTACAGTACAGTACTGCACCTTGTATCCCACCAGCTTCTTTGAGTATATGGACTATACTGTAAGTAATGTTTCGTGAATTGTATAGATGGACAATTCGTGCCCGTGTAACATCAAAATTTGACATCAAAGATTGGTCAAACCCTGAAAGAAAAGGACGGTTGTTTGTTGTACATTTAATGGATGAGTCTGTAAGTACCTTGTGCTCCATTCGTTCTGCGGTGTTGGTGAAAGAGTGGTTAGTGCATGCGATATGTCGTGATTTTTTGGCATGTGGTTGGATGGTACTTAATAGTAGATGGGTTTTTCGCCGGTGGAATCTTCGAAAGCAAGTTTATAAAATTTTTAGATCTAACCAGGAGCAGTTGCGAAAACTGCAGCTAACCTATATTATTTGCCGAAATTTAATTGCTTAATTCAGTATGCAGTTGTGTGCATCGTATAATGTTATACTCGAGAATATAATAATAATTTAATAATTTATATTGCGCTTTTTACATACAATGATCAAAAGCGCATTACAATACACTCTATTATACATGCAACTATTAATAATCTTAAATATATACATTTAATGGAGGCTAAAAGCTAGCTTAAAAAGATATCTTTTCAGAGAGGATTTAAAAATTGAAAGAGAACTGATACTCCGAAGGCTTACAGGAAGTGCATTCCAGAGTGTTGGCGCAGCCACACTAAAAGATCTGTCTCCGAATGATTTTAACATCTTCCCCACTGGATGTGAGATGATAATCCCCGAATTGGAACGGAGCGAGTAACGTTCATGTTTCCTTATCTTAATAAGTTCCCTAATATAATCTGGCGCCAAGCCGTTAAGAGCTTTGAAAGTTAAGAGTAAAATCTTAAAATGAATCCTAAACCTAACTGGCAACCAGTGTAGTTCCTGTGAAACAGGCGTAATATGGCTGTACTTGCTAGTAGACGTTAGCAGCCTGGCCGCAGCGTTCTGAACTCGCTGTAATTTAACTATGTCACAGTCCGGCAATCCATAGAGAAGTCCGTTGCAATAGTCAATTCTACTTGTAACAAAGGCATGCAAGATCATTTCTAATTGATCCTTTGCAAGGAATTTACTTATGCGCTTGATTTTATGTAGCCAGCAAAATGTAGCACCACAAGACTTAGAAATATGGGTGGACATGGATAAATTTGAATCAAACCAAGAGCCCAGATTACGCGCTTCCGAAACTGGCTTGATCTCGGTATTGCCAACGCGAATCGTACAAGGGTTAACTTTCAAAATCTGTTGTCTAGATCCGATGATAAGAAATTCAGTTTTATCGTCATTTAACTTTAGCTTGTCCTGATACATCCATTTCCTCAAGTCACTAATACATCCCTCCATGGCAGACACTGCCTCCGTTTGATGAGCGGGATTATTAGGATTGAATGACAGGTATAATTGCGTATCATCGGCAAAACCATGGGCATCAGGGAGGTGTGCTTGAACATAACAAAGAGAAGCGGACCAAGGCAACTCCCTTCGCGCACATCACAGCTGTCTGATGTAACTCCGTCAAACACGATGCGCTGGCTACGCCCTGACGATAAGCTGATTGCAGTAGAGGATAAAGACCTGACTGAACCAAGTGGTCATAAATCTGATTAAATACAGCACGCTCAATGAGCTTAGAGATATAAGCTAAATTACTAACAGGACGCAAGTTCATAAACAGCGGGTCAAGGCCCAGTTTCTTTAACAATGGTTTGACTACGGCCACTTTCCAGTCCTCAGGGAAAACTCCTGATTCCAATGAGGTGTTAATTATTTTAGCGATCACTGGTATAAGAGACTCGATACATGATTTTAGTAGAGGCGTGGGGACAGGATCAAGACAGCAGGATGTGGATTTAGAGTTGGCAATGAGCATGCGCACATCGTCCTCCGTCAGCAACGCAAATGATTCAAAAACAGATGGAGCCGGTGGGTAATCCGGGACATCGTTCGTAGTCGCGATACCCAAATCGAGCTCATCTCGAATCCGAATAACTTTCTGCACAAAATACATCCCTAACTCGTTTACCAGTGCTGTCGTATCCGTATAGTCAGAGAAACATAGCGTGTTCTTCTCAACCAAAAGGTCTTTCACAGCTCGAAATAATTTGCCTTGATTGTCCGCATTCTGATCAATGAAGTCAGTGAGAAATTCCGATTTAGCTACTCTTAGCAAATGAGTTACACGATTTTTTTTCCTCTTGAATGACTCAAAGTCAGCAGCAGTCCCAAAAGACCTCCATTTCCTTTCAGCTCGTCGACGCTCTCTCTTCGCTACACGAACTTCCTCCGAATACCAAGGCACTTGAGGTTTAACCGTAACAGTCTTGGTTTTGAGAGGAGCATGGTGATCCAATAAATCTGTTAGTGTGGTATTATAGCAATCTACTAGCTTGTCTAGCTCAGATGGAGGGTGCTGACACAATTTAGTAGCAGACAGATCCGCCACGAATGTGGTTGTATTAATAGCTTTCGTTTTCCTAAAAGTTACCTTCTTCCTTGACAGTCGCGGTTTGGAGATATTTATGGAGAATAATATGGAACAATGGTCAGAAAAATAGATATCAGGTTGGATTTCCTTTATGATATCAGAATCCAAAGTTCGGGTTACCAGCAGATCTAAAGTGTTACCAGAAGTATGCGTGGGGAAATTAATGTGTTGCTGTAAGCCCATTGATGAAAGGAGATCGAGAAAACTACCACAATCGTTATCCAACTGCTTGTTGACATGGATATTAAAATCACCGGCTATCAGAAGCGGCTCGATCGTCATGACAACAGATTCCAGAAAGTCAGCGAATTCAGTGATAAACATATTCACAGTAGCCGGGTGATTGAACGAGTAAGGAGGCCTATAGATTACAACAAGGCGTACGCGAGATGAGCCAGAAACAATAATATACTCTGAATACTCAAAAGAGTTGAATATACCCGCTCTTGCTTGTTTAATTACAAGTGAGTCCCGCGCTAAGATGCCAGTGCCACCACCAATTCTATGTGGGCGAGGATGGTTAAACAAGCGATATCCAGTTGGTGTGGCAGCGATTTTAGCAGCAGCATCAGCAGATTTCAGCCAAGTTTCAGTAATAACGGCAATATCGATTTCCGAATCACAAATATAGTCAACAAATTCAGGACCTTTGTTTCTAAGTGATTGAGCGTTCAATACGCAACACTTAATTAGTTGCGCTGTATTGTTATAAACAATAGCCGGTGCAGCCAGAATTTGCACTAAATTTGAATAATGGCGAAATCGATTTCTTGGCGTAGATTCTGTTCTGTTTGTGATTATAGTTTCGATCGTATTCGACAATTGTGGGCCAGGATTAATAGATATGTCCAGATACATGGTAATGTCAATAGGAGGATCATGTCCGGCCACCAGTAGTGTAGTTTGGCCATGTTTTGACCATCTGGAGAGGCTCATACGAGTCTTTCGAAATCCATGCTTCAACAGGGAGACTTTTCCAAGTCGGCCAAGTCCGATAATAACTGTTTGCCCACATACATCGCTCAACAGTGATGGAGAGATCTTATTTTCCCATATGGTCTGTACCATAACCTTAGGAAACTCTTCATGTCGGTCAAAAACCGTAAGACGGTAATTTAACAATATAAATATCGAAAAAACTAGCGATCCAAAGCTCACAACAGCTGCCTTCATTGTTCATTGCTTTTAATCACATGAGAGAAGAGTGCTTCCAGTTTATTTCTCTGGTATCCCTCCGTAGTAACACTGGAACAACAAGAGATCTTGCTTATTATAGACCTCTAGAAAGAACATTTTGGAATCAATCGATTTACAGTATCCAGGCTTTTTTCCAGTTTTGCCCTCCGATTAGCAGTGGAAGATTAGTTAAATGTTTGTGTGTGTTTTTAGAGTGAGATAAGAGTAGTATGCTTTGATGATCTCGTGGACAAGTTTTATCCATTGCTTGAACAAAATAAGGTACATATATCCAAGAGCTAACATTGTATTGACTCTGATAACTGCAGATTGAACACTATCTGCATGGTAATGCTTAATAAGGCCGTCAACTATATTTTCTTTATTTCAGGTTTACTACATATCAAATGGAAAACTGGATCTGTCAAAAAGAATATATTCATCTATAGAAAATGAATATGAACTAAAGTTTAACTACCAAACTAAAATTGAGTTGGTAAGCGATGTGTGATTAAATGAATTGCCCGATTTGTAGCGAAAATTAATGGATCGCTTATGAGTTCATTCGTCCGTTAGAATAGTTGGAAATTATTAGTTAGCTTATTCTATACCGGTAATGGTTGCAGAAACAAATCATGCCTGAATTCGTTTAAATGCTGTGTTTATTTACGTCATACATTTAATCATCAACAACGCACACATATTTGAGATGACAGTCTACACAGATATAGTTCGCCTTGAGAGCTAAATATTCTCAAAATATCAGTATTTTTAAAAGCCCCTGCACAAATTCGAAAGGTGTTTGTGAGCGCCTTTAATGATAGATGCGCAGATCTGTCTCTTTGCCGCGTTTATACAAAGACGATCGAATCAAATCGATCATGAGAGCTAGGATCTTCTGGATTATCAGTTTAACTCAGGCCAACGTTGAAATCTGCATATTCAGTGACCCTGACTGATGCGAGTGAAAAATCAGGGAGAAAACAATTTCCATTTCGTATTTATAGGCAAGTGCATGACTGTTTTACAGTAGCTGCTTTTATAGTGCTTCAATTTTATTAGAAAGAAGTAAATCTCACATCTCTTGTCTTCTGCCTAGTGTACTGAGGACCACGACTTGCCCACTCAAAAAAAGTTCAACTTTCTTGAAATTGGCAAAATACCAGACATTGAACTCAACTGTGTCATTGGTGAGTATTTCCTTTAACCATGCGTGCAAGGTTTAAGTTTGGCAACAAACTTTCCAACAGCGAAAATAGTTTAAGGCCGCGTTTACAATATTACCCTACTGCTAACACTCCGTTAAAAATGTTAAAAAAGACTACATTGTGTTTACGTTTCTAGTATTGAGACTATATTGTGTTTACACTATAACGGAGTGGTTTGCCGTAACGTAATATAAACTACGGACCACTACATTTGCTACTCTAAATACAAATCAATTTCGTTAAAAATTCACCACGTTTCTTATAGTATTGTGTTTACACTATAATGGAGTGGTTTGCCGTAGCGTACCAGTTCTCATTCATCGCAAACCGTCGGCGATGGGAGCTTTGCGACGTCGGCGACCGCTTGCGATTTATGAGAACACATCAAAAATTATATCGCCGATTGTCCGTGATCGTCGCCGACCATCGGCGATGACATCGCAGGAAACAAAAAAGTTTGTTTCTTGCGACCATCGCTGATCATCGCCGACTGCCACCTGCTTGAAAAATGAGAAATGAGTAAAAGTTGTTTTTTCCTCAAAAGCTATGGCTGATGAAAAAAAAAAGCTATGGCTTGATGAAAGTATGAGAGAATCCAGCGATTTTGAAAAACATTATACACTTAACGTTGGTTCGGCTAACGTAGAAGAGTGTAGTCGAAGTCTGATTATTACTAACAAAGGAAGTTTTAAATGGTCTGGAGAATTTGAAGCTTTACAAACGCTATTTGATGATATCGTGAAGAGCCAGACAAGTTGGTCAAAACCGGGAGGTTGCTGTAGAAAATTGGAAGTTGCAGACCAGTTATTAGGCAGTTTACGATCTGCGACGCGGCCGGCTCAACGACGCGGTCTAAATTTTAGCTCAAGAATGAGCGCTAAGCAATTCGATTACTGTAATAAATATTTGACTCTTTCAATAACCTTACAAAATGCTACGTTCGGCTAAAGCGATGCAATGTTTGCAGTAATTTCGACTTTTAGTAACACCTCTTGTGTCGCATTAAGCTTTCGCGTTGCCTGAAAGACGTAATAATTGCTTTTTTAACGTTGTGTTGAGAATGACAACGCGGTTGACAATACTCATGGGACCACAAATTATTGACAGTTTTTGTCTTGCATGACAAATTTCTTTGTAAGTTCTTTGTGGGTTTGCATGGCGATAAAACACATAATACTATTGCTTCTGGTAACACCAAATTTCTTTGTTTTGAAAGCGCGTCGTCGAGGCGGCCGCGTCGTAGATCGTAAACTCCCTAATGGTAAGATGGTACTCAGATAGTCACTCACTTACACTTAACGGGAGTAAAGACGAAGAAATTAAAACTTGTTTGCGAGAATTAGCGAAGGAAGCAATAGACCATGACATGAATACATCAGATAGTAGCTTTGAAAATCAAGAAGACTCTCCATACCAAATTAAGTTTGATGGAGAGGAAAAATCATTGGAAAGTCAAGCCGATGTCTCAGCCAAAATTACTGCAGAAGATCTGACAATGATCTTGGAAAAAATCGAGAAAATTGAGCAGAAACTAGAACGCAAAATTGATGATATATCTTTCGAAGTATGCAAATTGCAAGATGCCGACAGCTTTGCATTAACATTGTCACGAGAGCATATCTCTCTTATTAAAGATGAAAATGTACAGCTAAAAGCGGAAAATGTCTACTTAAAAAAAGAACTGGAAAATGCTACTCTTGTAATGTCGGATCTCAACGAGCATGTAAAGTTGATGGGAGAAGAAAAACAGAGCTTAATTACTGCGTTAAAAATTCTGCAAAACAATGAAATAGATGATGGCAGGAACAAAAGATGGCATATTGCACCGGATAGAAAACAACAGAAGGCCCACAGTTCAAACCAATCGAAGTATCAACTGACAGTGAAGATAATTATCTTTCAACAAACAGATATTCGGAACTTACAGATGAAGCCTTATTAAACGAGCAACAACTCGAAGAGACATCCCAAAAAAACGAGCAACAAATTAAAGTGATATCCCAGCCAAGGACTAACCAAACAAACATGCCGCGGGGTCAACAATCAAGTAAACTGCCTGGTCAAAAACCAAGCAGACGCAAAAACAAAGCTAGCGATCAACGGGAACAACAAACCGAACAAGACGGTCCCAACGTGTTGTCGAATTTAAGGGAAACAAATCAAACTGACAATCGTAATCGAACAGATAGTGCAGCAGTAGAATTATCCAAGCGACACCTGAACAACAACAATTCAAAACCTGACGAGCGAAAACCAATACTAATAATTGGTGACTCGATTATAAAGCAATTGATCCAAATAAATTATCTCGAAGAACGGTGCATAAATTCACCTATCGCGGAAAAACATGTGAAGAAATTAGTGAAGCTATTGACAATACCCAGACAAAGATTGACCCATCTCATGTTATTATCCATTGTGGTACAAATAATCTACCCATCGACTTTGCTGAGGTTTGTGCTACTAAAATTATAAATTTGGCTACGAAAGTAAGAAATAAATTTCCTAATGCTCGGAGTGTCGGGACTAACCTATAGAGAAGACGTCTCAGTGAACCCAATACGCGTTGAAGTTAATGAAAAACTCAAAAATTTATCAGTAATTCACGAATTTTCTTATATAGATAACTCAAAAATTTATAATACTTGCTTGAATAAAAGCAAGCTGCATTTAAACGATAGAGGGACATTATTGGCGGTCCATTTCATCCCCGAGCCGACGGCGCGAAGCGCCGTGCGAGGGTACTAATTCCCCCCGGCTATTTACACCCGGGGAAACGAAAGCATTAGCGGAGTCTAAAGTTCATCAATAATCGCGGGCGTGGGTGACCAACGATGGGTGGTCATCCTCACTGATCTCAAAAATATGGCGCGCCGACTGTCATGAATAGCGGACACTGATTGGTCCAATTTAAAGTTTGCATTATAATTGGTATAACGTGTTTGGAAGGTATAGTTTTCCGCAAGGCTTTTTCTTCCTTATTTTTACAACAAATTTTGCGAGCCAGTAATTGATTTCATCGTTTTTCTGCAAGTCTAAAATCTCCGCCGCCCTGGAAAACCGTCAAAATTGAGGTCGGCAAAAAAATGCCGACCTAAATCTGACCTACAATCCCCGTCAAAAAGGTTGTGACACCTACGGCTTTCCCCTGATACCCCTCTTCAATGTTGTGATCTGTTGATATTTTTGCTTTCCACCCGATGAATCCACCGCTTTTACCAACATTGAGCAGGGGGAAGGGGGATAACACTTATGAGTTACATATCGACAATGTCACAACTATTTTTGTCCGGGGTTGTATATAGTGTGCATAATATAATAAGATAAAAACAAGCTGACGATTTACCCTTTATTGGAGGGTTTAGATTCATATTGATAGACATGTGTACCACTGCATTGTAGATAATAATTCTTGACATATTGACATATCTAACTTAATTATTTTTTCGCGTTTTATAGTGGAAACAAACGTTTGAGAACACATTGTTATGGTTATTCGTCTTGCTACTCTAAGATTAGTTAATAGTTAACTTATATATGAAGTGTCACGAATAACCAAAACAAGTGCTGTTTAAATTGCATCAGTAAGTTTTGTTTGTTGTTATCGTTTGTGAAGACAAAGATGTATGTTAATAGTTTCATGATAACTAAATATTACAGAAAAAACCCTAAAAGACTCGCAAAAAATGGCATTGTAAATGGTTAATCGTAGAGGTTAATCATTCACGCAGACACACATATAAGAGTTGATTTCACGTTTAGCTATTAAAAAAATATTGCAACAACTTAATTTCATTGCAGTGACCTTTACTGAAGTGGAGGCTATAATATAGGCAGCGTTTACACTGTACCGTTTTCGTAGCGTTCTCGTATTGTTCTTAATCCTCAAGGGAACGCAAGAGAATAGTCTAGTTCTCTCGAACAATACGAGAACGCTACGAAAACAGTACAGTGTAAACGCTGCCTTAATTACACTGTACCTATAATTATGACTAGCACACACACGAGAACTTGTGTTGTAAATGTTCAGTCCCAGATTTTATGCGATTTCCCTCACTCGTAATAACAAGATTTAAACGTCTATATTCATACAATCCCCGTCAAAAAGGTTGTGACACCTACGGCTTTCCCCTGCTACCCCTCTTCAATGTTGTGATCTGTTGATATTTTTGCTTTCGACCCGATGAATCCACCGCTTTTACCAACATTGAGCAGGGGGAAGGGGGATAACACTTATAAGGTACATATCGGCAATGTCACAACTATTTTTGTCCGGGGTTGTAGGTCGGCACATCTCGGCATTTTTTAGAGTCTGTTTCCATGTCTTGGAGTAATCGCGTATTTGCGAATCATTGAAATCGGAATATAAAGAATAAAAGTATGCCTTTTTCCGCGGAAACGCAAACTATACAGTAATACGGTTATACGACGGCTTTTCTTTTGGAGTCTTCCTAAATTATATATGTAGAATACTCGTCAATTTTTAAACCTTACACCGAAGTGTGTTTAGTTAATCGCCGACTTTTTAACAGCAATCACCACAAAAAAATCTTACTTTGGTTGAATTAAGGTTGGCAAAAATTTGCCGACCTGGGAGGTTGATAGGTCGGCATTTAGGTCGGCATTGCCGAATGCCGACGTACCTCGTTCTCGAGGGCTGGGTCACTCCGGTTGAACGAACGCATACAAATCTTCCCTACTGCATGTACCTTCGCTATTTCGTATTTCTACCCACTCTTTCCAAGCACGAACGGCCCAGTTAGTGTTGTGTTTTGTACTCTCTGGTATACGATCAAGACATCTTTTTTCAAGCTTGGCGTCAGAAACTGGTAATATGACCTCTTACTTTTCTTGGCGTTTGCAATGGGCACTGTCGATAGTTCGTCATCTGCCTGCGGTAATCTCTCTTCTCCAAATAAAATTTCGTGCAATAAGTCTATATTGTTATCAGAGTCGGCTTGACGGAAAACATTTTGCGTTATAAACATATCTTCGTCGCTGTTTGTGTCGCTCATAGTTTAACCACCGCTCACTCTCCATGCATGCATACATGCATACATGAAGAAAATGGGCCGTCTACATGTCTATAGTTAAATTTCTATATGAATTTACAGTATGCTATACGAACAATCATTTGGAATATTAATTCATTTTCCTAGCTAATTAACAAAATATGACTGCTATAAGTCTTTACCAGGTAGACAAATCATATACAGGGTGTCCCCAAAATAGTACCCTCTATAGAAATTATCCTATTGTTATAATTTGAATGCCTGAGCACTATGCTGAACACAAGAGTGCGTAAACACAATTGAATTGAATTTTTAATTACCAGTCGCATAAAATCCTGTGCTTAACAACAATAGGATAAATTTCTATAGAGGGTACTTTTTTTTGGGACACCCTGTAGAATGCTTTTAACGTATACCGACAAAAGAAAATTTACAAAGCGTGACTTTCCTTAATTTTCTTTTGTTCTACCTTAGCCTATTCGTAGAGCCTTGTGCATGCACTTGATCATTCACATTCTGTATGTTAGCCGCGTTAAAATTTCTTGTGGGTTCCTGCCGACACGTTTTTCTTCGAATTTTGTATTAAACTCTTTACAGTTAAAAAATGTGAAATTTCTGATACATTTCTAATACAAATAACTTGCATCAATAGAAAGCTAACAAAAAACTACATATAAGACATTTAAATGGTTAGTTGGTATTTTCAAGCGGTTTTCGAGTTATTGCTGTTTTAAATGTGAAACATAAGCGAAAATCGCATTCAACAGCTCATATAACTAAAGAAGAACTTGAAAATCCCGGGTAACCGTTTAAATATCTTATATGTAGTTTTTTTGCAAGCTTTCTAATGAGGTAAGTCATTTGTGTTAGAAATGTATTTGAAATTTCACATTTTTTAACTGTAATAGAGTTTAATACAAAATTCGAAGAAAAACGTATCGGCAGGAGCCCACAAGAAATTTTAACGCCGCCAACATACAGAAACGTACTTACTAGCCTTCAGGGCACAATATAAAGGCAAATTGGAATTGTCCCACGATATAGTAAGTTTTTTCTTTCTATCTGCCCGACTACGTAGCCCTCAGAAAGCATCCCTCGGGCCTTCGGCCCTCGGGATGCTTTCTTCGGGTCACGCCACAGGGAGCAGAAAAGTACGATTGTGTTTTATAAATACCTTGTCATCAACGAATATCCCATATTTATATCACAACAATCCGCAGACATAGTCATAAAAGGATCAAAATTAGCTGATTTTTATTTTTTCGATAATATCATGCCTTCTACTTCGTGTAATTCAAACATATTGCATTGCAACGACTATTTCCGAACATCTTACGAAAGGATGCCGAGGGTGTAACCCGTACATAAATAAGAAAGGGATGAAACGCCGAAAATCTTTCGTTCAATGTGCACCGCAACAACTGGTGACGGAAGTAAATTCGACATTGTAACCGGAAATAGAACGGAAGTTGAAGGAAAATTGACCTATCATCTTCCATGACCTTTTAATCGAATTAACGGTTAATAATTTGAATGACAATAACAAATTTTAAAAAATATTGCGAAATTCAAACTCAAATTAGTCAAATATTAATATGGAACGTTTTGTCAACTAAAAGAAATGCGAATCAATCGATTCAAAAGCAACACACGCTCTTGTCCCCGAGCCGGCGGCGCGAAGCGCCGTGCGAGGGTACTAATTCCCCCCGGCTATTTACACCCGGGGAAACGAAAGCATTAGCCAAGTCTAAAGTTCATCAAATATCGCGGGCGTGGGTCACTGTGCGTGGGTGGTCATCCTCACTGATCTCAAAAAGATGGCGGACTGTCATGGATAGCGAACACTGATTGGTCAAATTTAAAATTTGTTGTTGTATGAAAAATCACGACTTCAACTGACAGATACTTCATGAAAATAATTTGCTTTTTGCACTGCAGTATTTTGTACGTTTGCAAAAAACTTTGACAGCTTTCAAAGCAATTTGCTCTATAAAGAGTTTAATAAAACAATTATGGTATCAAATACCAATTGAAAAGATATGGACTACTGTATGGAGCCAAATGAAGAGCGGCAAGGAAACGAAAAGAAAGCCGAACGTCTCGCGAAAAGGAGGGAGCCAACGAAGACGACAACGTTTGCTCGAGGAGACTGCTGAGGAAAGAGAAGCTCGCCTGGGAAAGCGTAGAGAAGCATGGAAAAAAAGACTGCTGAAGCGAAAGGTATTAAAGCAAAGGCTTGTCTTCACAACGCTATGTACCAATGATACTGTAGCTATATAAGTTGAAGAATGATATTCGACCCTCTATATTCGACTATTTCTTCACAATTTTCCAATAAAGAGTTTGTCATGACACGCTCAAGTCAGTATAACCAGACTGTATTTTATTTATATCAGTTATCACAGCCACAGGCAATTTTATGCTGTCAAATACCGTCGGTGGCAACTAAGGGTGAACAGTTGCAGATAAAACATTCTCTATTCTCATTAAAAAGCCTGTAAAAGTTTCCAGTAGGTCTCTAGCCCAACAAGTTCAGACAAAGTTTTGTTACTTATTTTTATTGCACACATGGGAAACAACAATTAAGTGTTGAGTGTTGTTGTTCTTGACAAACATTGAAGATTCTAATCACGCGAATTTTTTATGAGCGAC